AAACATATAGAGTGAAATCTTCAGATAATAGTCTAGGTATTGTGCTAGATCTAGGTAAGTGATAGGCACAGTCTTCTTCTAAACAGTCACAAACAACTTCCTCCCCTTCCTAAGCTCCATCTACATTTTGAGCAACAATAATGTTTTTGTACCAAGGAGGCTTTTAATGTCTTGCCAGTTTGCATCAAAAAGAATAGTTAACAATTCGTTCACATCCTCCTTTTTTGCTGCTCTTACCGGATGAACTAAATGAATTTCTTCAAAAGGATTTTCCAGTATTTTTTTCCAAGTCGTGTTTTGCTTTAGAATGTTGTATTTGTGTAGCTCTGATTCAAACCGATAGAATTCATTGCCTTTAACCCATACCTGTAATTTTTTCTTTGTCACAACTTTCTCAATGAAAATTCTTTTTGTGTCACTGATTTTAGATAAGTGTTATAATTATTAGCAAGTGACTTTACATCCTTCAGAAACCAATCTGTTCCAAGTACCTTCACAGTTCCAACTTTTTTATATTCTTCAAAGTTCTCTTCTTCATCAATAAGAGTAGGTTTCTTCCGCAACAATTTCTCGGCTCTTCCAAAAACCCTATCGGCTGGTAAAAAAGAATGGCCCCTGATATTCGCCTGACGAATAGTAATATGTGTCAAGGTGCCTTCGTGGGCTGCTAAAAAGTACATTAAACTATGAAGCACATGATTGTTTTTGATCTGACCTGTAGATCCATCACAAAACAATCTAAGGTGGGTCACATCTGTAAGGTCATCTGATTGAAGATAACTAAGAAGAGCAGAAGCTACTTCTTAGTTACATACAATGCCGACAAAATGGTGTCCGTCCGCCATTGTTATTGATTGTTGTCACTAAAACGTTCGTTGCATGATTTCTTCAATTATCAAAAACTTATTGATTCACCTTGTATGGTTCAGAAAATAGTTTGCGATGGAGGATTCTCATTGATTATGTATAATAGTTGTCCACTCTTAAATATATGTGCATTTTATGTCATATATTTTTTTTAAATACTGTTTTAATAAGAAGAATATTTAAGATGAACAAATTACAAATCCAATTAGAAAATTCTTTATCTTTATCTCGAGAAGTCGCACACATATGGCGTTGCGTTCCTGATAATAAAATATTGTTGCTAAACCCGCAACAACACTTGTGCAACATTTGTTTGAATTAATCGACAATCATCACGAGCTCCACCATCTCTCTCCATCTCCCTCCTTTTAACGGGTAGCGTACGAGGGACGTGAATCACTTTTTTTCGCAGAACGGGGGCGTTTTCGGTGGTAACCGATCCGAGCCATGACCCAGTATAAAAATGGCAGGCGGTGCTTCTGTGGCGGTACGTTCGAATGGTAAAGTAGAGATGGTTGATTACCTGTGAAAATTACGGCCTACTCATTACTTATAGACCAGGAAAGATCACAACAGAAAAGTTGATTAGAGGATTGATTTGCTCTAGCAAATTATGTTATTCGTTTGACATTTATTTTGTTTCTGCTCCTCTCTCATGTTATCTTTAAACTTTATTATTATTATTATTATCACATTTATAATTTTTTTTTTAAATATTTATGATCTAAAACTATCAGACTGCCATGTGCAGCAAGAGGGGCTTTTAGTGGGACAAATATTTCTAAAGTATGCAGTGACAGATCTGGATTGTAGATTGAGTGTTATAAGACAACCAGCTGATTTGTTTTTCTTTTAACTCTTTACCGCATGAATTTTTGTTTTTTTTTTGTCAAAAATAAATTCTCAGATAAGAATTTTAATTCTATTTTTACGTAAAAATATTGAAAAAAATCTAGCTACGAGGAAAACTTTGACAAAAAAAATTTTTGGTGCTAAATATGGAACATCATGCAACAATGTAATATTAAAGTCAAACTATTTTGACGCTACAGTATACACTATACAGTATGAAACTGCAAAAACCACTTTCTTTGTTTATTAATACCCAACGGTATTGTGCATTTTGTGCACACTATATGTTTTCCCTGTACAGCCTGGAAATTTGCATCTTGACCTAGTGCTCTCATCCCAATAGGGAAAATGATCAAGCCCATCTTTACGGATGTCTTCTTGGGGTATTTCTTTAGTGGGTTCGATTTTTTCGTTTGTCCTCGTACATCTGCTGAATTGGTTTTCCGGCTTTGCATAGAGCATCGGCTATTGCTAGTTTGGTATCCAAAAGGGGTAAATCAAATTTCTTCGCTCTTTTGGCTAATAACCAACAGTTCACGGCTGTCAATGAAATGAAAAAATATTCGTAAATAATATTTCTTCGTCCTGATTTTTATACGATAAAATTGTAACATGGAATCAAGAAGATCTACACCTCCCATGTAGTTGTTGTACACTGTTAGGACACTGTTAGGACAAGGTATCATTTTATGTATACTTTCTTGTTTGAAAAATCTTCTTTTTTCTCCCTTTGGTTCACTTCCAGACTTCCAGTATATATTGACATTGTAGTATCGATTTTATTATCAAACCCGAACACTGCACTGACATCCACTTTGTCTATATTGGCTATTTTCTCTACCATATGACCTCTGCCGCGTTTCTTTATTTGTTTCTCAGCTGGCATCACAACTCCAAGAACACGATTAAGTCTTACTGTTCCCAAAGATAAAATGCCCTCTGTGGTCAGATATACCATAAGAGGTATGCTAGTGAACCAATTGTCAAAAAACAACTTGTAATGTTAATGTTTTGGTATCGAATCTGCTAATTGGACAACCACGTTGCTGCTCATACTAAGATTTGCAGCTCCTAAAGGTACAATATTAGTCTGGGAACCAGCAAACAAATTAAAGTCATAGCTGAATCCCGAAATACCACTCAGCACAAAGTTTATGAAGCCCCACTTATGTGGTTTTTTTGGGTTATACTGCTTTAGCTGGCTTTGCGATTTTGTTGGTATAATCTGTTCGTCTACAACTAGAAATTCTTCTTTCGGAACCATAAGTAGTCGTTCTTTGATTTGGCTCAAAACAGGTCTAATTTTGAATAATCTGTCATGTCCAGGCTGATCATTTTCAATCATGTTATCATTGTTATTGAAATGCAAGAAACGTTTTGAGTGAATCTGTTACAGCTCATCACATCGCTAACTGTTCAGTGGCTAATATTGGCATTCCAATAGTGTCATGTTGATGGAAGTTGAATTATTGACATGTAAATATTAAAAACTTCTGCTTGCACAAACCACATAGATATATCCCAACTATTTGCATATGGTCTCAATCTGTCATACACAATATTTGACAGTATTTTATATGCCACAGTTAGTAGCGTTATTGCCCGGTAGTTTTTACTCTCTCTGAGCTGATCTCCCTTTTTATGTAGTGGGATAATTACTTCGGTATGGTATTCCAGTCTTGTGGCAGTTGTTTATTATTCCATATGTTTCCTATGAGTTAGTGTATCGCATTCAATAAGGAGTCTCTGCCTTCCTTTATTATTTCTGCGCTGTTGAGTTTCTATATCTCCTTCTTTCTCTCTGTTCTTGGTATCATTGTTCTTGGTTTAAATTCTTTTCTACTTTTGTTAAGTTTTTGGTAGAATTTTCTGGATTCTGATGGTTTATTTAGTTCTTCCATTTCTTGGAGTTCTTTTTCTATGTGTTCTCTTTTCTTTCCGCGATGTATTTACTTCCCTTCCATCCTTAGCATTCTATATTCCTCCTCTGCCTTTCGTGTTCTATGTCGTTGTTGTAGTGGTTGATATGCATTATTTTTCCTCTCTGTTATGTTACGACACTCTTCATCGAACCACTGTCCTTCAGTTGATTTGAGCTTTTTTGTAGACCCAGAGGGTCGCTTTGGCCGCGTCTTGTATGATGTTTTTACACGCTTTCCATTCTCTGTGTATATCCTCGTGCTTTTGTATGTTTTCTAGTCTTTCTTTTATATATTCTCATATTTTTCAATTTTGGATCCCTTTTCTTTTTTAATGTTTGAGATTCTGGCTCTTATTCTACTTTCCACGAGGTAATGATCCGAGTCTGCATTTGACCCTCGTCTGCTGCATACGTTTATTACGTCTGAGTGATATCTAGAGTCAATAATAACATGATAGATCATGTTTACTGTAACCCCATCTGGAGATCTCCACGTTCCTTTATGAATATTTTTTCGCTGGAAGCATGTGCTGGAAATTACCGTGTTAAGGGAAGCTGCTAGATTTGATGCCATTGTCATTGGATACCTCATGAAGGCTGTGCTTACCTACAGTTGGTAGGTATTGTTGCTCTTTTGCTATTTTTGCGTTGAGATCACCATAAATAATTTTGATGTCATTCCTTGAGCATGAATAGTATGCAGCTTGTAGTTCTTTATAGAATTTTTCTTTGATATCGTCGTCCTTTTCCTCTGTAGGGGTATGCACATTTAAGATGCTATAATTAAAAAATGTTCTCCTTAGTCTCAGAGTGCACATTCTGGAGTTCATAGCACGAAAGTCTCTTACGAGGTGTTTAACTTTTTTATTTACAATGAAGCCAGTACCTAATACGTGGTCTTTAACGTCGCAACTGTGAAAATATCAGTTTGTCAAAAACATCAAAAATATGAAGATGGACTTAACCTCAAAAGTTGGCTGCATGACGTCACAGTTAAATGGCGAATATCAATCTAAAAACACTTTATTTTAGCGTATTTTTTATCATTACCTGATTATGTTGATGATTAATATGAAAAAGAATTTAAATGAGTATATTATTCCAACATTTTGGTACTTATTTCTTGGTCTATAACGGAGAGTTAGCGATCTAGCAACAACCTTGGAACTACCTCGTATTAATTCATTTCATAAAAGGACAGTCGACAAACTCCCAACTGATTATCTAAAAAATATCGTCGATATACTTTTTATTCTATTACATTATACTAAAAAAACACGGTGAGAGCGTGTCGATCTGCGCAGTCGCACGCTAGTGATAACGACAGCGTTAGAAAGATTGCACTTTTTATATCTTCATTATTGTTTCCTCGATTATTCCGACTCCAGCACTGGTATATGTGATAAATAATCATTGCGCAATCGGATCAATTGTAATCTTTTTCAAGGAAAATTATTACATGTTTCGAAAATGAACAGTTTCATGTTCGATGTGGACGCGAACGCTCGGCTTGCGGCAGGTAAAGAAGCGTGAATTTTCATATCGGTGATAAGAAAAAGTTAAATGTGTCGTCCTACATGTGTGTCGTTACGTCATCGGTTTAATAAAAATGTGTTTGTAGTGAAAGTCATTAGCGGTGCATATAAATGTGCATTTTAGGACAGCTGGTACACCTTCGGAATGTAATAGATAAAAGATTGGGTGTATACTGCCCAATAAACCGTTTTTTATCTAATAATAAGTTCAGTAAGGCTATTATTTCATTTAATTTTTGATCATTTTTAAAATATCAGACAGTGCAAAAGCAGATAATACGAATATGCGATAATTTCTCCAATCTTGCTAAATTTTCCCATGAGACATTCACAGCCTGGAGAAAAATTAGATAAAGAAAGATAAAAATGTGAGTAATTAGTACCGAGAAGTGTCTGTAGATTGGCATTTTTGATATGCACCTTTCAAATATAAAATGAACGAGCATATGATATATTTCAATGGTATCTGTTTATCTGTACTTCGATTATAATTATGAAAGATATATTGTCCCTTGATCTTTTGTGTTTTTCGTAAAACTTCAAAATGTAAGTGTTCTAAGAGTAGGTTGAATGTTGACATATGGTTTTTTTTATTAACAGTTTATAAACGAATCTGTTTAATTTTAATTTTTATTGTCGGTTTTCATCATTAGGACACTAACAGGAATTGTTTCACCTGTTTCTAAACTCTCCATTAGTTATTTCTTTTTGTATTCGTTCGTTATCTTATTCCTTAGATTTGGAATTTAACTCTAGATATTGACCTTTAGTTTCAGTTGTAAAAGTTTTTGTTACAATGTTTTTTTGTTTTATAAAACACCCCTCAAGAACTGTCTGCTACACTGCAATCTGGTCATAAAGACCAATGAGCAGTTCTGTTTGGTCCTAAATTAATACTAATACATTCTAAAACTATAGTTATATTGAATAATGTTTCCGCAGGGTCTTTCTTACTTACCGTAATTATTTACACAAGCACTCGTGTACACTAAGCCGCACTATACTCTACTTCTCAACTAATCACTACACTAATTCACTCACTAATCTTTGCTCATGATTTTGGGAACAATTTCTTGGAACAACGTACCAATGGACATCGAGGCTGCTCCTTGATATTTTGTTCTGAAAGCGTTGTATCTTTTGAAATAATATTCTTCCTGGCACAACCCCAGATGTGAGCACCGTATGACCATACCGGTCTAAGTATTTGTTTATTGGTCAAAAGTTTATTATCTATGGGAAACTTTGAGTTTATTCCAAGCAACCAGTACAATTTTTTGTATTTCAGTTCAAGTTTGTCTCGTTTTTTCTTTATATGGACCTTCTAATAAAGTCAATTAAAGTCAGAATTAAGATGCAATCCCAGGTACTTTGCAGTATCTGTAACAGAGATCTGGATGTCACTTTTTTTGCACATATTGCTTTTTCTTATTAGTGAAATTTACATGCATTGGTTTGGTCTCATTCAATTGTATCCTCTATTTTTTGGTCTAATTAGCGATCTTGTTCACTGAAGATTCTAGATTTTTTACAACTTCTTCATGATTATTTTCCACTGCCAGAACAGCTGTGTCGTCCGCAGATGTTGCGATGGTTCCATTTTCGATTTCAGGGATATGCTATTGTATAACAAGTAGAAAACTGGGCCGAGCACACTTCCCTGTGGCACTCCTGTCTTGATTTCCTTTTACTCCGTGTAGACATCCTTCTGCTTTATTCTGAGTTGTCTTTCAGTTAAGTACGACTCTAATAATTTAGTTTATGGTTTAGGCCTTCATGTCATACTTTATCGAAGGCTTGAGCCTATTCGATGATTGAGAATCTTTTCATATAATTTTTAAAGTAGAGGCACTAATGAAATAGACCTGTAGGATGAAACCTTATTCGGCAGCTTTCCTCATTATGACTTCTGCAACTTTGTACGTTTTAAAAACATATTTTAGTGTAAATGATGCACTAAATACATTTGTATCTTCCAAAGGATGCATTTCTTTGGTATGAGTAGGATTAACTTCAAAGATATCTGGTTCAAAACTATTGACGTTGACCAAGTCATTTCATATGTTTGCTTTGAACGTGTTTTCGAGATAATGTGCCTAGTGGCTGGCTTTTTAGGCAGTGGTTCGCGCCTAGAGCAGTGTCTTTGTTTGTTGGTTTATGTAGTATAGGTCTTTTAAGCCGTTTGGTGGCCCTCCAGAGAGAATATTCACTACTTTTTTGAGCTCTTATTTCGCTAAGGTAGGTCCTAATCGATTCACTCTTGGTGCTTTGTATTTCTCACTTGGGATGTTTAAACGTGGGCTGACGTATTGTTTAAACTTGTCTTATCCTTGGGAGATCTGGTTTGTTGCCATTTGCGACGTAATTAATCTTTTTTCAGAAATAAGAGTTCTAATTTCTTTCGGATAATTTTTTCCTTCTGTCCTAATAGGGATGATTGGAGTACTGCTCCTTGCTCCTCGCTAAATCTGCAATCTGTTTCAGTGATAAGGTATGTATCACTTTTCTCTGTATCAAAAACAGTTTGCAATTCCTGTTGTTGTTTCAGGCAAGTGGCATTCTATTCCACTTTCACCTCACAATACAACACAAATTCCACCTCAGAATCTTATATGATAACTCCTTATAGATACTTCTATGGTAACTCCTTACCCTTGCAACATATCAGTGACTCGTGCCCAATATTGCACCTTCTAGGCATTCTGTTTCTGTCACGTTTTGAACAGTAAGTTCTGCAGGCCCTCTTTGGTCACTCCCTGCCATTCCCCCTATATTTCTATTCATGAATTGAGAATTGAGTTACTCATTTTTGAGCACTCTTCTAGATAATTTCTTTTCAGCAGGTTGAATGTAATCTTTAATTGCAATATGAGTATAATTTTCCTTATTCTGAATTGTTTTTTATAGACAGTATGAAGTTATTCTTAATCATCACTCCATGCGGCCTGTGCTGTCTGGTTTTCTGTGGTAGTTGATCAATTCCACCTCAGCATCTTGATTACTGTCTATGATTTTAGAACACCGTCTCGGTAACTCTTGCCCAGATTGCATCTTCTGGGTCTTGTGTATTTTTCTTCCAATCTATTTAGATTTTTGACTTTTATTGTCCAAGTTTCACATCCATATAACAAAGTAAACCAGTCGTATCCCTTTAGCACTCTTACGACACGTGTTAAACAAGAGACTTATATTGCATAATACAGAACGCCAAATAATGAAGCTTCTCCGTGTCAGTTCTATTCTGGTCTAAATTTCCTTGTCGCTCTCAAGCCTTCAGTCGATCCAATTTCCCAAATATCTAAAGTTTTCTACCTTGTACAGGTTTTGTTGTCTAGTTTTAGTGTCTTCAATATTAATTTTTCCGACCACCATTAATTGTTTACTGTGTTCAAGGGAGTTTGAAGGTCTTCTAGTCTCTCTGCCATTTTGGTGGTATTATCTGCGTATCTATCATCATCAATGGTGCTACAGCCCTATGAAAGAGCCTCGACCTTCCCAAGTCTATTACGCCAGGCAGTCCTATCCATTGCCAACCGTTGCCAGTTTGCTGCACCTATCTTTCTACCATCCTCATCTACACCATCCTTCCATCTGAGTTTTGGCCTACCCCTTTTTCTACGTCCCACGGGTTGTGACATAAGGATTCTTCTAGGAGGGTTGTTCTGCTGTGATCTTGCTAGATGTCCTGTCCATATTAGTCTTCCTATTCTTATAATATACTGAAAATAAGCTGGGTCGACAGAGTTAGAAATGAGGAGGTCCTTAGACGGCTGAACCAAACAACACAACTGGTCAATATAATAAAGAAACGCAAGCTGGAATACTTCGGTCATATTATGAGACACCCTGAAAAATATGATCTTTTACATCTGATCATTCAGGGTAAGATCCAAGGTAATCGAGGTCCTGGTAGAAGAAGAACATCATGGCTGAAAAATCTAAGGCAATGGTATGGAAAATCAACTACATCGTTATTTAGAGCTGCTGTCAATAAAGTCACGATAGCGAATATGGTAGCCAACATGATATCCAACGATCGATAGCGGTCATGGAACTAGAAGAAGAAGATTCTTATAAGAGATACTACGTCTTTACCACCAAATATTTGTTTATATCTGTGGTATACCTCGTAATTATATCTCCTCCTCCAAACACAAATTTCACAGATGCCACCAAATATTCCTCTCAGGATCCTTCGTTCAAATATAAGCAGAAGGTCTTCGTCTGCCTTGGAGATGGTCCATGTTTCCAATCCATTATCTGCGTGTCTACTGTTATTAATAAGTTTATTAGTAGACATTAAACAAGATCGGTGACATAACACATCCCTGTCTGACGTCGCGCCTAATTGGAATTTTGCCTGAAACCTTCTGATCCACCTTAATGTAAGTGGTCTGACTGTACTGAAAATTTTTAAGTAATCTGATGTCGTACATATCCCGACCAACGAAGTCTAAGGTTTGAAGTAGTAATTTATCAAAGGCTTTCTCGAAATAACATACGAAAAACATACCTTTTTCCACTTAGTTGTAATAGATTTGTATTGGTTCATTCCTCATTGACTTCCTTGTTCAAAAATTCACTCTAAGTAAATTCCAAATTTTTTGCAGTACTTTTGATATTTTTAGTTCTTGTATTTTTTCTTTTAGATTCTACAGATTTTTCATCCTTTGTTCCAAATTTGTTGAGTAACTCATTCTTATAAATAAAAATCTTCAGAAGAGATATATCTCCAAAAAAAGTAATCCCAATTTTCAATACAGAATTTTTTTGCACTACAATTAATTTTATTTTAATAACAGTAGAAGAATTACATCATTACATAAATCCAGATTTCAAGAACGGGCACTTTTTTGTAAATATGTTTTGTGTCTACTTTAGATCTCCACTTTGGACTTTATCTAGAAGTTTATCTATTATGAAAGTCGTCCATATTGTATCAGCGACCTTGTCCTCAAAAGATATATTATACATTGTATGTAGACTATAGAATTCCATTTCAACTATATACATGTTGAGCATATATGTCACTAACCCATAGTTTGTGTAAGATATGCAACATTTTCACTAAAAGACGCGGATCTCCACTATAATACAGAATTATGAAACAATTAATGTAATATGCGTAGCCAATGATTATTCTACTACTAGTCTGCGCAGCCAATACATTGATTTTTTCTTTATTTTCTTCATGTCGTCCAACCCACCTTCGTATAAAACCTTTTTTTGTAGACTACCTGGGCCATTCATTATATTTTTTGTTCTTCAACCGCATTCATACTTTTCCTTTGTTATTTCCTTTATAACCAATTGCATCTTTATATTCTATTATACAGATTGTTCAATGCATTATTTGATAGAAATTATGTACAAATGAGCCCTAAAAACGTTAAAGGTCCGTGACTAAGATATTCTGTATTCCGATTTCCATTCTTTCTAGTCATTTGGTCATCTGCTCTTTCCTCTGTTTTTAAATATCTTTTATCTTCAGCTTTTTTTAAAATTTTTACCTTGTGCTTCCTCAAACATACTCTTGTCGAACATCTTTGTTCTAGAACCATTATTAGAAGTTTAGCTGTTGGTCTATACGTCTGGTGACTTTTTTCTCGCCATTTTCATCACATTTTAGTTTCTTTTTGTTAGCCATCGTGTCCGTTTTACTTTACTTTAAAGTTATTGGTGATTCGAACAGAATTTATTAGTGATTCAGATCATTTCTTCGTCTTCACTATTAATAGGCAAATCATTTAAACCTTTTATGTTAAAGAAGAGTGTAAGAGCCTTTAAAGATCGTCTTCAGTCTGTGCTACCAGGACAGCAATGCCTGCATAACAGTAATTTCACGTCAGCATTCAACGCTTTATATACTCTTATACACTTCCATGATTATATTCCATGACCTATAATTATATTAAACAGTAATAATGATCATAATCTAATATATTAGTTATAAATAAACTAAATTACTATTTGATATCTTCTTGTGATTTTTTTTCAGTTATGCTGTATATAAACAGATATATTTAATTAAGAAAAATATTTTTCATCTATAATATATTCTGTGGGGTCTCCAGTATGTTACCAAAACCACATTATGTATGCGGTACCTGTCACCAGCTGTCATTAAAAGGAAAAGGATGTTATGATCGATGCAAATTATAAGAAAATGCAAAGCGGTTTTCTACTTACGCTGTAATCAACTTGTTTAATAACTTTTTTAATACTTAAAAACTACTACTTTACTGTTTACAAAAATAAGCATACTGATTTTTGCATAAATAAAAATTTACCGTTTTTACTGAATTTCAATCAGAAAGTTTTCCAAGAAAGATAATTAAAAATTAATATCTTTACTGATTAAGTTTTATTGCATTAAATATAAAAACTTTTTTAAATGTTTACAAATATAATCAATGTTATGGAAAATTCACTGTATAGAATAATAAAATTATTTTATAGGGACTATATAAATATTCGTCAAAAAAATTTCAGAAATAGTTTAAAAATGTTGTCACAAAGTTAAGTAATACTTTATTTAGGTTTTTGAGTAAAAATTTCACTACAAACACATATTGTTGTCTTCCATGGTTTGAGTGCCAACATTGTCATGTATATCGTCTTCTCTGTTTCTATGTGCGTGTATGTCTAGGTAAAATCGCTTGAGCTTATGTTCAGCTGGGAAATGCTTCAATTCTTCGACCAACCAACTAAAATCACTTCTTTGTCCAAACAGAATTGAATAATGAGCGAAGGCGTTAGTCCCTGGAAGACCAACCACCATGATATCGGAATGTTAATGCTAAAAGACAGAAGGGAAAAGATAACGAATGCCGGCAAGTACTCCGATCGTTACAAGGACATTTTTTCGCATGAAGTGCCCGACGAAGAGAAATTTCCCTTAAGTGCTAAGTGTCGCGATACAATGGAACACTACCGTAAAGTGTCAAAAGGCGTGAGGCCGGACGACTCGCCTACCGCGGCTTCGAAACTGACAACGGAGAAAATGAAGCTTACAGTAGGTAAGAAAAGTAGCAATGCTACCAATGACCTAAATAAACAAGAAAATGCTTTAATAGGATTCAAGCTCGTACCGGAAGGTACCCACAAGCCGAACCAACCCCCATTGCCGCTCAGCTCTCCAAATACCACCAAGTGGCAAAAGAGAAACGTCAACGTCTACAGCGTCAATACAAATGTTCCGCCTTCGAGTCCTAATCAAATTGGAGCACCGCCAGGATTCCCCGCCAAGAAACCTCCACCTGTAGCTCTAAGCACAATACTCAACGGTAACAACAATAACATAATCACTAACAACAATAATCACTTCGATAACACTTTATCACATCTCCAAAACGTCGAGAGTATCATTAGTAAATTAGACGAACACGAGAAGAAGGAACAAAACTTGAAAAAATTCGAAGAACTGGTCAAAAAATTTGGCCCCAAACCTGCCGAAAAGGCAAAAAAGGCCGTGGCTCCTTTCGAACAGTCCCCTAACAAACAAACGAAACCCCTGGAATCGTCGGAAGACCAACTTAAATCTCAAGAGCACATCCTCAATCCGATCAAACACGCTAGCGAAGTCGAGGATTTGCCCGCAAGAGGACTCAAAGAAGAGGAAAACGAAAAGCATCAGCACTTTAACAGAGGCGCCAAGGAACGGAAGAGTACGGATACGAATGAGAAGTCGAAACCTGTGCAACAGCCTTTGAGCAGGACGGCTTCTGATGCTCAAAACAAAACTTTGACCAACGCGAAAAAGACGTCTAGAACCTCTAGGGATCGTACCTCACGCAAAGTAAGTTTTTATCACATTTTCACTTAACATACCTACAAATAAAAAAATTATTTATTTAGAAAATATTAAAATTGAGAAACATGCTCAATGACCTGTCCATTAAAAAATAGTTATCCAGAATTATTGATAACTTTTTTAAACCATCATCATTTTTGGTTTTCCCGATATTGATATGTAAATTGTGGGTCATATTAACCATAGACACTATATCGAAGAGTATTGAGAGAGAAATAACTTATGTAAAAAATTTAAATTATACAAAAAGGATTTAACCCTTTCAGGTCAGATTTTTGTTTCAGGATCGTATGGAAATTAGAACTTTTTTTGTTTAAAACGAATAATTATGCAAAAATAAAAGAGATTGAGATTAATTTTATTATTGAGATCCGCCATTTTGTCCGGGACATATATGTCCCAGTCAGACTTTTTGGAACATATATGTGGAATATATAACCCATCAGACTCGAAATTAAAACTTTATTTTAGTAAAAAAAAATCGAAAAAACAAATATAATCTCATATTTTGAAAACAAACGGACTAAAAAAAATAAGATCAATATTTAATGTAAATGAAAAACTGTGAAACATATGTTTTTTTGCTGGAGGATGCCCAAGTGAAGTCGAGGCTTTTCTTTTAACAGCAGCATCCCAATGAAATAAATCCCTCTGCTAGAAATTAGATAAGGCAAAAATGATGTTTTTTCTTTCCTTTTTAGATCATTGTGTAGTACATGAGAATTTCCAACAGCCATCATCAGAAAGCAAAAAAATACTTACTTCCACCATTTGGTAGACTTCCTATAAAAGTCATACAAGCCCAAAATATGATCTGCTAGGTCCACGCTGCCCATTTTCTTATTGTACGTGTCGAGAAGTTCAGGACATCGCACATTTATTTTAGAGCCATTCTTCATTTTTCGTTTTACTTCTCTTTGCTTTCTCCAAAACACACAAAAACACAAACATACATCAGTTCCCCTTATTGTATTACCTAATTTGGTCACTACTCTTTCTCCCAATAATAAACTAGTTTCATTTCCTGTTTCCTTTTCCTTGTATATATTAAAATCGTATACATGTACTGTTGCAGAATCGCTTTGTACCCATATCTTTATTCCCCGTTTGATGCGTGTCAAGGGTAGAAACTGTTGTAGGGAAGACCTTCCTTTAAATTTCGCCATTGACTCATCAATGCTTTGAAAAGCGTTTCAAATGTTAGTTTTAGACAATTAGCGACATCCTTGATGTAATATGATTTTTTCGCATTGTCAGGCTTTACAATATCAGCAAGATACATTTTGGTAATGAACAATTTACAACGGTCTCAAGAAATCGCCCTTTTTATTGGTAAATTTTCTAAAGAATCATTCTGTAACCAATATTCATTAAAATATGGAACTCGTTTGTATGCAATGATCAGTTTGCTACCTAATACACTCATAATTTCATGTTCTTCGGTAGGAATTCTTTTTTTCTTGGCGTCTTTTCCAAATTTCTCCAAACGTAAATTTCTCCTTCCCTTCTGGGAAATACTTTTAGAAATATTTCTATTTCAGTCATGGTATGAAAAAGTACAATCGATTTTTTTTTCTGATGAAAAAATGAACCGGTTCTGTTGAACCGAAAAACGTGGTAAAAAAGTTCCACCGTTATGAAATTAAATACCTTATTAGTACGTACTTTCGCCTTCTTCATCATTTTCGTCACATTCGTCACTTATCATCTGATTCTCTTGATCCATCGTATCCCCCTCGGAACCTGAATCTATTTCATGACGCTCCATTCTACTTCACCTTCGCATTCTGATGTATTGTAGTCTTCATCATCAGAGCCACTAGTCTCAAAAGGATCTATTTCTGATTCTGTATCGCTGGTAAAAATGGCTGCTGCCTCCTCATCTAGCTCTTTTTGCGTCAATATCTTTCTACTCATCTAGAACAAAGCAAGACTGTTGGGAGACATATAACCCACCATAAATGCCCGTTGGGATGTATTTCACCGATAAAACAAAATAGGAGTTTTATTGAATATATTTACCTTTTTTGGTAGGTAGCTCCACTCACAAAAACAAATTCGCAACAACAGTAACAGATCACAACTGTCCCTGTGGTAATCATCAACGAAACTACATAAACACATTCTACAGATGAACATTACGGGGAAATACAGCCCGTAAACGGTTTGCAATGTTGCCGCTTACACAAATTATTCTTTTAAAATTGTTCAGTAAAGCGGTTCAGATTTAGTCCTATAGACTTGATGATTTCATGACTGTGGTACAAACGTCTCGTCAGACTCGAAAGGGTTTCACAACGTTTTTAGTCCTATCGGACCATCATCAGTAAAAACATCTGAAGAGTAGTTGAAATTGGCCACATAACAAGATAGATCTTAAATTTTAAAAATATTCTAACACTAGGTGGATGTATAAGGGTTTCATGTTTATGGGAACATACAGATCCCTTGGAAGCGGGGATCTGTCTGTTCCCTTAATAAAAAAAAGTCTTTAACATCGTCCTAGTGTTGAATAGTTTTAAAATTTAAGACTGTATGTAGTATTAGGGGCCTTCGATCTCGTTATGTGGCCAGTTCATAGCTAACACATGTTCTAGTTCATTATTACTGCTTCTTTTGGTGAGTGATCGCATTCTCTATAAAATCTCGTAGTAAGTTAGTTTTTTTACTCACAAATATATAGACAGACAGGTTTGTAGTATGAGATCTGACAAAAATACTCTCATCTAGGGATTTATTAATTTTATAGTGGAAATATTTTTAAATAAACAATCTATATCTTCAAAACTCATCTATTTAGAGAATTGACGTCAACAGACAACTTTTTCAGAAAAAAATATACACAAAATGAGATACGCTAAATTAAATTCAGATGATAAACAAAAAAGTTCTGCAAAATGAACAGCAAAATCGCTGTTTTTGAATATTATTAATGATTTTTTTATGATTTTTTTAACATTTTTTTAAATGTACCTGAATTTACTGAAAAATGATCTAATTTCTAAAGCTGTCCAGATAATTTGAGTGAATGGATTTCAATAATCCGGTTATGAAATAAATCATTTTGAAATTTGACATCAAATCCCTAATTAGACGAGTTTTTAAGTTTTTAAAAATATTTCCACTTAAAATGGATGAATCCCTAGATAAGAGTTTTTTGTACTCATACTGCACATTTCAACTGTTAAACCCATACAGTTGTAGCGAAAATAGGTTTATTTCTTACTAACTCATAGTACTATCCTAACATTGTCTATTATGTTAATATCAAAGCTCCTGATTATTACATAAAAATATTATAAAATACTTTTTGTATTTAAACTATTTTACCTAGGAATTTTTATGAAATAAAATTTTACATAAAATATATATGACTCTAATGTATAAAAACAAATCATATTTCGTGACTATTTCACCATAAAACCATGTCGATATTAGATTTTTCGTTATTTTATCGTTCTGAAACAATTTGCATCATCAATTTTTAAATACGAGATGTTTGAATGAATATTTTCAAGTGTTTAATTGCTTCGACCGTGAACGTAATTGCAGTAATGGATTTTTTGACGAATATCTTACCCAGTAATTTAGTTTATATGTATTTTATGTAAATACAGTGGTTAGAGTGGGACATTTTTAGAGCAAGGGGAGGTTAGGAAACGATTTTAAAGTGGCGCAGTAGAAACATAAATATTAGACAATTGCTACAGATACAGAAATAGTTTTAAAATTTATAAGACTTATATAAACTTATATACGATAATACTAAGAACTTTTAATTTAAAATTTCCTCTCATTTGACAGAGTGACAATTATTAGAATCATTGCAATACATAATTAGAATTAAACCTAAATCTATACAGAGTAAAATATTAGATTTTTGATAACAGCTTGCAGTCTTTGAGAAAGGCGAAAATATGTTTAGTACATATTACTGTCTTTTCCAAGAGCACTAGTTAATGTTGATGGTATGTTAAACGTTTTGCGTTGCACATATACTTAGGGCACTGCAATAAACAATGTGTTACCGTTAAGACACTTTTACATATGCCACGCACAGGTTTATCAGTACGTTTTAATAGGTAGTCGTGTGTTAACCGAGTATGACCTATCTGGAGGCGAGTGAAGATTACTTGTTCTCTTATATCGTTAAATTTTGTGAATTTTTTATGATTGGCATGATGAACAGCTTGGTTGGGGAGTTTCTCCATGTATCCTACCATAATGAATTAATCCTTTCTTTAAAGAATGCTTTCAGGTCGGTGTGAGGAGATTTCGTATTCTCTTCTGCGTTTGGGTTAGTAGGTGCATTTTTTGCTATTTTGTCTACAACCTCGTTTCCTTCGATTCCAGTATGTGACGGTACCCATATGTTCATATTTTCTGCATATTGTAGTTCCTTTTTAATGAAAAAGAGTACTGGATGATTAAAGTAGAGTTGGTTTAATTTCATTATTGAGCTGAGATTCTGTAATAATGATATTTCTCATTTTATTTTTGTTAACTATCAAAACTAGGGCTTTTAGTATTGCATACAGTTCAGCAGAGAACGTTGTTGTATATGAAGGTAATTTGTAAGCTTCTGTATAATCTGGTGAGTAGATTGCTGCCCCAGTTTCGTCTTCGTTTTTGGAGGTATCGGTGTAAACTTTGAAACTGCTACCATATTTGCTCAATATTTGAACAAATTCTTGATTAATTTGACTTGCTGGCGTTTCTGATTTATTTAGGTGCAATAATCTGGTGTCAGTAGAGAGAAGTCGAATTGTCCAAGGAGGAGGTGTTTCGACTGAGGAGATATCGTAGGTGTCAGGAAAGTGAATACCTATTGTTAACAAGTAGATATGTAGGCAGTAATAGAAAAAGTGATCAGTTCGATTTGAAGTTTGGAAACAACTTTTGAAGCGGTCAGCGAATAAGTTGTGTATAACTGGATTATCTTGATTAGACGGTACTGCCGGTACGGACTTGTGTGATGTGCTCCT